TTCAATTAATCCAACGTGACCGGATATTCAAGCGCCGATTAATTCTGGTCGCTCATTAAACGAACGAGCACGCGAGTGTCTCTTGAAATTAAACGCGGAGTCAACATCGCGTTCAACTAATTGTATCGTAAAATACGAGCGAGGGGGAAGCTACCCCGAGTGGAACTTACGATACTTTGCGGAGGTGCGTCGCACGCACGATTCGGAGGAGTACGAGAAACGCCATTTACGGGTCACAGTTTACCTTCGTTCTACCGCGCGATCATTAAAAATGCCGTGACGCTAAACAGCAGGTGAGAGGGGGGGAAGGCACGAACGAGAAAACTCACATAGAACGAAGAAAAGACTTTCACCTCCTCCTCAAGAAGTTTGCCGAGACGCCTGAGTAAACGCGAAGTAATTCAATTTGCCGAGGCTCGCCGACTTTCCGTTCGTGTGACATGAGAAAAGAACGAACAAACATGCGTGGCGGGCTATAAAGTAAGTAAAAGAACAATTCCGGCTTGCAATTTCGTCACGTAACAAGATTCTCGGTGCTATGTATAATGTGAGATGTCTTACGCGACATTTCAGCAAAAATTCCACATTCAATGGCAGGTAATAACGTCGCGCCGAAGAAACGCGGTAACTAAAATCTTCGAGTAACAACATAATTTTCCAAAAATCAAATTAATCGTCATTATTTTTAATCAAGATACTCTTGAAATAAACAAATAGTCACCATTTCTTAATAAGTTTATAATAATTAATTTTTTCGTTAAAGAATTAATGTCGTTTCTTCTGCGGCGTTTAATCGTGAAAAATTGATGATTAAGTCTGGTTGCAAATATACTTTTAAATGAAACGTTTCAATTATGAAAATTAAAATCGTTATATCAATCGCGGAGACGCAGCAGAGATAACGGCCGAGCTGGAAATATGGGAAAAATGATGCGTTCCGACTCTTTACAGCGTACGTTACGGGAGGGATCGATGTACCATCATGGACAGAGACGTCGTCATGTCAAGTCGGCGATGAATCGGAACGACGACGGAAGCCGTCGTCGTGTCTGATTCACGGGCGATCGATCATGCCCTCGTATGATTATTCATGGGCATTCAAGTGCAAATCCCAACGAGGTCGTCGGCAGATAGGCGCACAAACACCGCACCGACGTCTGATTAATTGATGGTGAAGCTTCCGTCTTCCCTTCTTATTCGGCAATTCCAGAAAACCGGAATACATCGTGAGAACTATCAGCCCCGACCATTGTCTCGTCGAAAGCGTCAAAGTAGTGTTCCCCGCACGTTTTTAGGTATATCTCGTAAAATATATTTTTATACCCTGGCAAAAAAGGGCGAGAAACAAGATCGGATTGATGTTTAATTTATTTTCAATTAAGCATAAGTAAAATATACTTGAATAGTTCAATTATCCATCCAAATTTAATTAATTTCAAACTCATTTAGATTTAATTACTAATGTAACCAACCGTGTCTAGCAAATTTCATTTTTAAATATAAATTATATTTTATTAACAATAACGCGACTTAATTCTTCCATTTAACCTTATTTAATCACATTAATATTAAATGCGTTCGTGCTTTATAACTTTATTATAATATATTAATAATAAATTTATTATTATGTATAATAAATGTATAATAAATCCAATAGTTATTGCATTGTTCAGAGTTAATCGCGTAAAATGTGTCGCCACGACCCTTATCGGTCCCTTATCGGATTCAGTGGTCGGTCGACCGAATCCACGCTCGTTTTTGCGCCTGCCTCTCGTCGAACGTTTCCAGAGAGATGACGTAGACACAATAGCTCGCCGCGTGTTTCTGGGAGCGAAAAGCGAAACGTGCAGATGTCGCAAAGAGAAGAGTTCCGGTGTCGTGGGTGACGCAAAACCCGCTTCTTACCCCAGTTAAGCTTGGCCGCCGGCCAACCAGGACTCCACCGACGCGAAGTCCGCGAGACAAGACACCATTCGTGCAACCGGGGCTCGTTATACATGTTGTACTAATTATCTCGGTCTTTAGCATTATCAAAAACAACGAGAGCTTGTTACCGGGCGAGCATCTAATTACGTATAGCGAAAAAGTTACGCCTGAACTTTCATAAGCTCGTTCCCAAAGATCGAAAGCGGAGAGATTCGTAATTTGCGTAAATACAAGTTGCGTGAGCGAAAGTTTGTATTTTTTGTCTCATGATACTAATAGTTGACGGATAGAAATCTAAAAATCTGACCAGATACAGATCTGAAACTAATTTTGTTGGATGATCAAACTTATTATAGTAGAACGTTTAAACATGATAATAATATTGCAAACATTTTTTATCTTCTGGCAACCAATTTATACGTACGTAATTTTGAAGATCCGAACAAGAACATGAAGATCTGAACAAAATTATTTTCAGACCTGTAACTGGACAAATTTTTAAATTTGTTAGCAAAACCACTCTTTCCATGTGTATTTTATATTACGGTAGAATATATCATAATAATCTGACGTTCAAATAAAGTAAAAAAAACATCTAAAATATCTAAATATCAAATCCATTACAAATATTCATATCAAGAGATTTAGAAAGATTATAAGTAAGATGAATAAATTTATAATGCACATAAATAAAAAAACGAGAAGAAGAACATCATCGATTTCGCATAAGAAGAAAATTATTTTAATAGATTTTTTTCGCAGCATCTTCGGGCCTCCGCCTTTCTTCGCTTCATCCGCCCGATTCTTGCCAGTTCCACAATGAACTCGCCTTCCATCGTTCTTCCTCGGCTTTCCTCCTACGGCTTTCGCCCCGTAATGCAAAGCTAAAATCAATCGCTTGCATAAAACATACCCACCCTCGGTTCACTGACTACCATCGCTACACCGTAGGTAGCACCCTTGCGGTAACGTTGCGACATGAATAATCATTCGTGCGGTTATCCCGCAGAATAAGAGCTGCTTAAATGTCAATGATAAGTAGCCGTCGTCTGAGTGCCAAATGAATATTTGTTATTAAGCCCAGAATAGGGAAACCAAAAAAAAAAAAAAATAAGAATGAATATAATACCTACATAATTGAAATCTATATCATAAGTCTTACGTATTAATTAATTTAATATATAATTAATTAAATTATATATTTACCTACAATATAAAACATAAACGATAATATAAATGATATTTAAATCCGCTGTTTCTACGTTCAATATTCAATACATTCACACTTACAATTAACTTTTCTCCGGTCGCGAATTTACCCAATTGAATTAAATACGCGAGTTCGATAAACACCTTAAAATGCAACATTAATTTAACTTTAAAGAGCAAAATCCTATTACATTATTTAATATATTTATTTAATATATTTATTATTATATATTTAGTTGCGTTCGCGATCGACGTCAAATCGACGTCGTAAAATGCCGTCTTCTTCGGAGCGAGTTCATCGCATCTCCCTGCAGAAGAGGCGCATCTCTGCGAGATCGCGGCAAAACGTAACCGTAATCGCGCGCGATGCTCGCGGCAGACAGTCAGTCGCGCATTAACTCAGGAAATTAAACGGGTTACCCGAGGAACGACAGCGAAAGGCGGTCGCCGCCTTGGTTCGCTTCGTTTGCAGCGTTTCTGTGTGTGCGACCCGCTTATGGTCGCTCGTGCACGGTTAATGCGAGGAAGACGACGATGACGACGACGACGACGACGACGACGACTCGTCGCAGCACTCAACGTGTACGGTACTTCTGTGCAGATTACACGGTACACGACGATATATCGACAAAGCGCGCTGAATCACGGATAGGCGTTCACCGCAGAGAGCCCGACAAGTCGCACGCGAATTTGCGAGATGAGAAATTGGTTGATTGAGCCGATTGTTCTAGCGAGAATCAATCACCGTGAGATAATCGAGAGAAAGATAGATAGTCTTAAAAGAGAAACTGGCAAACTACAAAGAGACAAGTATCACGAGTACTCGCGGAATCGGGAATATTTTCCAGAGTACATTTTAGAATTTTATCTAATAATAGTCCTTGTGCAGAAAAGAATATCGCTACGATTAAATACATTTTTTTAATTCTCAAGAGATTTGAACCGAAGAAATGAGCTTGCTTTTTGCTCGAGGTGCATTCAGTGCGACAAACAAGTGTGAGAATTAGATAAACACGATTCCGTTCGATAGAAAATCAAGTAACAGAAATCAAATGCTGCTGTCATTGATACTTTCATCGCCGATGACTCGTAATACGAACGTTTATACATAACTTTATTTCTGCACTACGTGAAAACAGACATATTTGATCGAATGTGTCAAGCGAAACGGAACGCGCGGAACGGAAAAACGTGGGGTATGACTCGTGTGGAGGAAAAATAAAACTTTTTTCACGACGACATCAGCCACGACGCTGACATAACCGATGGACATTCGGCGCCGCTATAATAAAGGTTGATGTATTACACGCGGAAATCCTAACCGATGCCGGGGTCCAGCAAGGATGAATTTTGGTCGTTCGGGCTCGAATGTTAAATCCCGGTGTATATCGATACCAGCAGACAGAGCCGCTGCCGTCCGTTTCCGACTCGCTTATCAAGGCGCTTATCGATCGTTTACTCGGCCATTAGATATAGAAGTACCAAATTCATATCTCTGTTTCCATACATGAAGAAATATGGCCAGCCAATGATCCGTTCGAATGTACACGAGGCAAATAAGCGTGAACGAAGGACAAATAATTAAAATAATTAAAAAAAAAATTACTATTCTCTACTAAGCTACAAACATCTCGAAAGCGAGCGCGCATCTCGCAAAGTTCTAAGATTCGTAATTTTCTGGTACACAAGATACATTAGCATTCCAGACATCGCCGCCGCTCGTTGACGTCACGCATGGAACGCTCATGATTTACGGAGCCCTCACCACCTACATACCCGAGGTGGTTACCCAATTCGGGTAAGGGCTTTGCGCATACGCGGCCCCAGGCAGTCACCTGGTTGAGGCGCAAAGGGTGGATCCATCAAGGTGCTTGCATACGTCAAGAGCCGGACGATACCAGGGCTCTTCTTGTAACGTGGCCTCAGACAAATCGTCCTTAGAGCTCTCGTACAGCTACGCGGTCGTGTCTTTCGCCATTCTCACAAAGCGCGAGTTCGGATCGCAAGAGGATCAAATCTCGAAACTAAAACGGTCCGCATCAGCGCGGAGTAATCTCCGCAGACGTCACAAACAGAGTTGGTAAGGTGAGCGAAATTTCGGATACCGAACGTACAAAAAATCGTCCGCCAGCTGTGCGGTTTTAGAACACTGTCTTTCAGATGGACTCTTTTTTTAGCTCTTCCTCGTGTCTGATTATTCTTGAACTACTTAGACAGTCGTAAAATGAGGCTGCGACTTTTATCACTTCTACACGCGCGCAAGGCCATGAAAGGCTCTATCTACTCCTATTAGTTGGCTGATAGACGACGTGATTGTCAATTGAAGAACCGTGCATGCACGCAGCCTGCGATGTAACCCGCTTTGTCAAGTTAAAGTGCACGACCTAGATGCGAGCGCGAAATCAGGTCGCAGCTCGGCGGTCGCGGCGACTGCGCGCGGAAGAAAATTCACGCACGGCGAAAAATTGAGATAACAACCATTAGAAATGAAAGAAATAAAGAAAAAAGAACACGAATCTCGTTTTAAGAAACAATCGCGACGAGCTATTTTATCTCTAAACGGGAAAAGTCCTTCGTTACCGATAATCGAACCGAAAGTTCGCGACACGACGCGAATCTTTGTCACCAAGGGACAAAGAAGACACTCTTCAGAGCGAGATCTTTTGTTTTCTACGCGGAAGCACTACCGATGGGTATTTAGAATCGAGAGTGCGTCTCGCTGGCTCGCCGCCGGCTGCACGTAAATCCGGAACGCGAGGCGGATAAACCCGGCGCGTAACGCCGAGAGCCAAGATCAAGGCGGACAACAGGAGCGGAGCGCATTTAGCCACGCCGCGTTTTTCCGGGAGCTGGAATGTATTAAGAATCGACGCGGAAAGAAAAGGAGTGGTAATCGATCGACCGACCGACCGACACCGTTAGCGAGCTGGCGCGCGCGATGAGGAATTCCAGAAGCGGTCAAAGCTCTCGCTCGAATGCCCGACGAGCTGAGCTGGATGACGAAGCGCCGGACTAGATGGACAGAGGCGGAGGAAGGAATGCTTTGAGAGTCACTTCACGCGAAGGCGGAAGAGGAGGGGGAGGGAGAGGAGAAGGTGGAGCGAAGTGTCGGTGGAGAAAGGCGATTCACGAAAGAAAGAGATATAGCGTTGAGAGGAAATTCCAGTGGGATCCGGCGGAGGTGACAAAATTTTGCTACAATCTACATGGCAGCGCGTAAAGAGGAAGATAGGTTCTATCGCGGATACCAGACATGCTCCAAAATCACAGACTGTCGAGTATATATTGGCTGGCTTTATCCCTGACACCGCAAAACCTCACCTCGCCGCGAGAGCGAGAGAAGGAAAGAGACACCGAAGATAATAGTTATGTCTGTTTCGGAACGATAATATTCATAGGATCTGACTTAACCGGGGGAAATCCAATCGAAGTCGCGTCTCGAAATATTGAGAGAATATCTGCGCATTTATCGCGCATCATAATACCAGGATAATTAAAATCCGTTTCCTATCTTTCGTCAAAATATTATCACATTAATAAATCTCGTTCGTTATCAACTAAATTGCATTATTTACCTAAAACCTCATTATTGTTAAAATACACCGTGGGAAATGCATACATTCAATATCATAATATTATATTCGTATTTATTATTATTATCTGCGACTGTCGCAGATTTTAAATTCATAACACATACAAAGTTTTATCACGCTGCAGATAAATGTGTATATTATATCTCTCCTAAGAAATTCTCGGTATCCCCTGAGCTTCTCACGTCGAATCCCGCCATACCAAGGATACCCTGACTTATGGTATCTTTTTTCCAAGAGCCAGGACAGAAGCGTCCTTATGCAACGACGTGCATCTTTTTGCATTTACGTTTGTTCTGAGGTGTACCGAGGAAGCCGGGGCCATTATTCATAACGCTGCCGCGGTGTTTGCGCCATTAACAGCACAGTCTCCGTCTTGAACCATTGCCAAACGCAAACCACCCTCGGTCGCCTCTCGGTTATGACCGAGGCGTTTGGGAGACTTATTAAAACGATGTTGAACGAACTCTTAAAACACGACCAAATGCGCGCCGTGTTTCTTCCGCGAGAGAAGGCAGAGAATCGATAAAGCCGCGGAGAAATCGAGCGGAAAATACGCCTCCCTCCCTCCTCCCCCCCCCTCCCTCCGCCCTCCTATGTTCTCGCAATCTATATGCCCAAGTGATTTTCCGAAACTGCGCAACGCTTCCCTTTTTCTGCCTTCTTCGAGATACGATAATACGAATGTACGCTATCGGCAATTTGTAATCCGATATCTTCGAATTGCAAAAGAAGCAAGCCGCTTTACGTATGAGAATGTATTGTACAGTTTAATAGAAATTTGAGGATATGCCAAAAATAAAATCCGCTAAAAAATAATTAATAAAAATATATAAATATAGATAACTGATACAAATA